TACACGAGTTAAAATTCAAATGATATAAGAGGTTATGGGATTTTAAAGTGCATCCTCTGGGAGTTGTGGCTTGTGGAGGTTCAGTCGGTGATACTAGAAGCTATTCTAATCATATGTAATGTCTTGTAGATAGGGATACGTATTAGAACACAATAGATTAATCAATCAACATTCAGAGGCTTACTCCAGTCTCCGGTTTTCATATTATATCCCATTTTTTTGTGCAGATTACCACAAATTATCTGTTAGGAAGTTTGGGCAAGAACTGTTCAAGTTCAGTTGGAGTGATTGATCTTGGAGAAGAGGCTGTCCAGATGGTTTATGCTATGTCAAACACAAATGCCTTAAATGCACCAAGAACATCAGTGGGAGACAATGTAGATGTACTGGAGAAATATCTAAATGGAAGAAGATATCATCACTACACCAAAAGGTGATAAAGCATGATCTGCATTTTGCGACATGTCTTCCCCTCATCGACCATATAATTGTTTCAACTCCCATTCTCCTCTGAGTCTATTTTGGTGAAACTGACCTCCTATTTTGCAGGTGTATCCCTCTTATGTTTCATGATGTTTTTCCAGTTTTCTTCTTCCCGTTGTAAATATTGAATGCTTTTCGTGATATTTCAACACATTGACAGTTGTGAGAAGTATGGCATACTCTCGGTTCGAGCCGAAATTCTCAAGCTCTTCAATAACACTAGCAATCCATGTGTTTTAGAAGGCTTTCATGGTTAGGAATACTTGAGCCCTGAATTCTAGTTTGTAGTGAGCACTACGGTATTTTTCTGTGTTTCCTCCTTTCTTTGTGTAGATATGCCTTTTTGTGCATCATCAGGTCAATAGGAAAACCATATTAGCTCCCATGCTGACTAGCAAACTATAATGAACATATGGAACATTAGTTTCATATTTATCTGTTTGTCTGCACTAATTGAAGTGTAAAGCATGTCAGCCAATGGGTTTTTGTCTCATAATCTCATTGAACATACCTCATTCGCTCTTAATTCGCCCAGGAACTTACAGATATGGAGAAGAAAAATATTATGTAACTGTAGTGACGGAGCCAGGATTTTTTTCTTGGGAGGGCCAAAATTTTTTCGAACAAAATTATCTTAATACGTTATGTTCAAACTAATTTGTGTTTATTTAAATATATGACATCTTAAAATATAAAATTTTAATTTTAATTATAAAGGTATGTCTATTTCATAAATATGTAGCATAGTCATAACTAAAATTAAGATAAGAAATAACATTTGATTAAATATCTTATAACATCACAAACCACTTAAGTTGCACATTATGAGAAGATGCTCCAATATGTCACCTGTGCAAATACAAAAATATAACTATGTAATATAAATATAACTATTTTCAATTAAAAAAAAGATAAACGTTATGTTAATATACCTTGAAATTTCATCCTCTTTTATTAAGAGTAAATGGAGTTTTACGTTCTTTCATAGAACTAAATTCATCTCTAATTGAATCGCTGCTAAATTTTCGAACAACTTCCTTTTTTTATGTATATTGTTAGACAGTCATTCAAGAAATTATCTTTTATCTTGTTTTGGAGTTTTGTTTTGATTATATTCACAATTGAAAATGTACTTTCTATAGTTGTAGTTGATATAGAAAGAGTGAGAACAAATATAATCAATCTGCCAATAACAGGATATATCACTCAATTTCTTGTCTTCATCAAGCCTTCAAGTAATTATTTGTATATTTGTATATGAGTCAATAAGAGAATAGATCACTAATTTCAAATTTTTTATCAATTAGGCTAAGGTGTATATTTGTATATGGACCAATAAAGTAATTATTTTTATTTTAGCCCATTGATAATTATGAATTGAATCTTTTATTATAATACATCAAATTGGGTCAATTTATTATGGATCATCAAATTATATGTTTAATTTTTTGAATGTTAAATAATTAGTACAATAAAAAATAAATAACTTTTTTTTGAAGAAAAAATTAAATCAAAAGGTGGCTAATTCATACACACACACACACACATATATATATATATATCTATATACTCTCATAATATAAACTAAAATTGTAAAAAATTAGGGGGTCAACTTTGACTTATATATATATTTACATATTATGAATTAAAATTTTCAAAACTTAGGGGGTCCATGGCCCCCCTCTGCCCCCGGCTCCCTTTGGCTCCATCATTGTGTAACTGCTTCTCCATCCGGTTCAAGCATAACTAGATGCAAGGAATTAGTCAGCCAGGCTCTGGGACTCAATAAAATACAGAAATGCAGATGTGGAGAGAAAGAGAGAGATGGAGGGGTGCCTGATCAAGATTAGCTGTACATATCACCAGAATTCTTTTACAAGTCCGTTCAGGTATGCATTGGGCATGCATTATCATTACTGATGCATCTTTTCTTCCCTCGGCATTAATGCTGACCTCAGTAATTTCTATCAACAGCTTGGTCTTATCGATCGCAATGCAGACGCAGCTGTAATTCGTGCAACAGATTATGCGAACGAAGCTGATCGGGCTTGCAGGACAAAAATGCGAGATGCAAAATCCAAATACCGATTGGAGGATCCTAACCTTCCTTATATTTGCATGGATCTAGTGTACCTGTATACTATACTGGTAGATGGATTGGGTACGTCATTTAAGCATCTCAATCTGTTGTTCGTACGTTTATCCTTCAGATTAATCAGGATTCAGGAAAGATGCTGCAATTCACAGGTCTAGATCCTTGGCAAGAGATTAAATTGCTGCATCAGATAACATACCAGGATTGGTTGGCTGGACCAACATGGCCACTGGGCTATGCCATTGATGTTGCCTCATCAATCACAGAAAGCCAAATGACAGCCTAGTCATATGGGGTTTAATTTTGTTGTTATTTTACACTTGTTGTTTATGTTCCTATAGTTATGTCCATTGAAATTTGAAGAGTGCACTTGTGGTTGATCATGACAATTATATAGCCCCTTATTTCCAATTTGCTGTCCCTTTTTCAAACGCGTTGATTAGTATATATAGCCATTTCTGGCTCATTCTACTATTGAATTTAAAAATATCCTAAAATATATCCCAAAAATACCACTAAAAACATCTACAGTAAAAGTTTTTCATATACATTATTACAGCAAAATATTTCAAAAATATCCCAAAAAACAGCTAATCCAAACAGAGCCTAAATTTCACCATTTCCATCTAATGATGTTAGTATTAATTAGCTTTATGTCCCACATTATGCATGACAATTACAAATAATTCAAAATTTAGAATAAAATACTTATAAATTTTTTCATAGAAAACAATTTAAAATTTTTACAATTACATGCAATTCAATGATTATTTTTTAAGTTAGTTTAATAAAATATTTTCTACTTAAAATATAGAAATTTAAATATTTGAACTAAACTAACTAATAAGTAGTATTAGATAACATTAATTAAATTTATTAAATAGTAGTTATCTTTAAAATTAACCAATATTATTCCAAATGTCTTCAGTTGGTTGTATTTACTTCTTTTTTTTATCATTAAGGATAAATTACACTTTTCTCCCCAATGATTTAGCTCTTATCCACCTATACTCTCATATAATTTCAATAACTATATTTGACCCCTCATAATTTGGACTAAAATATCAAAATGACAAGACTTACCTTCTGTTATAGAGTCGACTAAAATATGAAATTTATTTGTAAACCACGAGGGAGTTATGATAGATTTTGAAACCATATAAGGCTATAATAAAAACTGCTAAATCATAGGAGATTAAAGTGTATCGTATGCTATATTAAATTTTTGTCCACTTCAATCATTACAGTTTCTAGATGAGGATAATCTTTACATTTCATCTAATTTCATTACAGAGGTGATTTTCCTTATTTTGACACTTTAATCCAAATTTTGATAATGTTATTTATAGATGTTGTAATTATAAGAGAGTTATGTGCGAAGCCACTAAATCGCACGAGGGTAAAGTATAATTTAACCATTTTTATTCTATATTTTCGTTGACTTTGTCCTTCTTGATTAAGAACTTGTATGAGTTTTTAACAAGAATAAAAACAAAATGAAAACCCACCTTCACGTGGTAGGAGATTTGGTATGGCCCCTACCCGTTAATAACTAGTTCGCAATCTGAAAGAGATTTAGTGAAAGATTCTTGTTCCAATGAAATCCAATCGAGAGCCGCGTAGGATGTACGCTCAAATTGACGATTGGTGCTAACCACATTTGACCGGGCTCATTTAATTAACAAAAGGGTAAATTACATGCAATTAACTTTGTACTCTTGTCTCACTTTGTCGGCTTTGATTTTATTTATTATCAATTTACCCCTTTTTTTGGTACCTTGAGGAACCAAAGTACCCCTTCAATGTCATGCAAAATTCATAAGTAGGGTTCAGTTTTTAGTAGATTTTGAGAAAGGGGAATCAACTAATATTCACTCAGTTTAAAGCATATTGTAAGCCTTGCGAAATTACCTAGAAGCCTTATCTTTCTTCTTCCAATGATAATTGTACCTTTCTTGGTTTTTTTTTTTCAATCATTTTTCCCCTTTAAATCTTTGTCTTCCCCTTCATCATCTTCTTCTGGCTACCACTATCACTACCCTTTAAGATGGCATATTTGCAAATTATGCATTCAATTTTTTCAAAAGTTGAGCTGAGGATTTTAGTCAACCATAGTGACATTGAAGGCAAACAAACAAACAGTTTTAATTTGATCTAACAAAAGTGCCCCCAACACAATAAATAGTAAATGTTTTTATAATGAGTGTTCATTGGGCATGTATTAGTGCACCAAATCCATTATATATGTGTGTGTGTGAGTGCATACACTTACATTGATTGTCCCTTCCTTGTGCTTAAACATTTTTTTTAATATAATTTTTTTTTTTAGTTTTTTTCCAAACATTAACACTTGACACTTTAAACAAATCCAAAAAAGTACACACACACTCACGCACAAGAGGGAAGATAAACAAAAATGAAGGAGTCAAATAAAGACACTCATATAAACATAAGAGGGTCAAGTATAATTTACAAAAAAAAAAAAAAGTTTTTCTAATGGGGGTTAAGTGCTAATAAACAAAATTGAAGGTGATAAAATCAGACAAACATATAAAAATAAGGGCCCTAAGTCAAATTTACTCTTGATAAGGTATACTTTTTCTAATTGATGCCCATAGCGCATTAAATCTATAACCAGTACATGTAAATGCATCCGCGTGCACTCAGTCATGAGAAACCGTCTCAATTGGAAGCTTTCCTTCTCGAACCAGGAAAATTTTGCATTCTTGACCCGGCCAACATTTTATCCTTCTCATTGGTAGAGGAGAAAATAAGCAACAACAAACTCGAGATTGACCTGCATTGCAGAGAGTAACAATAAAATGGCAAAACTAAATTAAAATTAGAAGGCAGACGACTTTGAGTTTGAGGAAAATAAACTACTGTAGTATTAAAAGCAACTTCACAAGTAAATAAAAAAAAAAAAAATTGACTTTAAAGTCAAGGACATTGTAACACGCTGCAGTTGCCGGCCGGGGCTGAAAACCCTATAAATGAAGTAAAGATTCTTTGCAATTTTTATATCAACTCATATTCATCTAGCAAAAGAAAAATCATGACAGACCCTTGTGTGCAATTTGTTCTTGCAAAGCTCGATGCTTTTCTAAAGCGAGAATTGCAGTTGCCAAAGAAAGTTGATACTGGAATCCGGACTTTGGGAAGCGAACTGGATTCTATAGCAGCATTTCTGAGTGCAGCTCATCAAAGAGCGGTCCAAGATCAACAAATTTTGAATTGGGTTCGAAAGGTTCAAGATGCAGCTTATGACATCATCGACATTCTTGACCTTTTTGACCATCACAAGGCAGAAAATGGCAGGGCAATATCGGTGACCAGACGGCGGGCATACCGGTCAATTGCCGATCAGATAAATGATATCAAATCAATTCTCGAGGAAATCAACAAGGGTAGAGAAAGATACCCACCAGCAAATTCGTCCCAAGCTGCCTTACCACCAAGTCCAACTACAAACCGTGATTACTCAGATCTTCATCCAAGATTTGCTCCTTTGTTCCTCTCAGATGCTGATGTTGTAGGCTTTGAGGAAGATAAGGACATGCTGATGGCGTGGGCACTAGATATGGTGGATGAGCACAAGGTCATGTTTGTTGTAGGCATGGGTGGATCTGGCAAGACTACTCTTGCCAAGCAAGTATTCGACGCAGTTAAACAAGACTTCTGTTGCTCTGCATGGATCAGTGTTTCAAAGTCCAAGAAGAATCTGGAGATCTTGCGGAACATGTTAGATCAACTATGCAGATGCAGCTCCAGGGCGGAAACAGCCCCAACTCTCCTGCAGCAAAGCTTGGACTTCTACATCAACCGCATTAAGGAGTATTTGCTGGATAAGAGGTATGTAATTGTCCTCGATGATCTGTGGGTTGATGATGTTTGGAGATCTATTATGTTAGCATTGCCAAGAAGGAATAGGAGTAGAATAATCATCACCATGCGAAGAGGGGATATAGCCTATTCACTGAAAGATGGATCCGTTGATGTCCATCCCATTCAGCATCTATCTCTAGAAAAGGCTAAGGAACTCATTCACAGAATCGCCTTTCCAGGGTCTCGTATATGCCCTCCAGCTTTAGCTACACTGTCCAATGAAATTCTAGGAAAATGTGAAGGGCTACCATTGGCAATCACTGAAATTGGTCACCTTTTGTCAACTAAGGGGGAAAGGGAACCTGAATGGAAAAAATTGCGTGATAGTCTTGCATCAGAACTGACAAGCCATGGCCGGCTTGCAAATATTGCAAAAGTGTTGATTCTTAGTTATGATGACTTACCTTACCATCTTAAAAACTGTTTTCTGTTGATGAATACTTTTCCCCCTAATCACCCCATCCAGCGCACAAAGCTAATACGGTTATGGATAGCAGAAGACTTCATCACAGAAGGGAACAATGGAAAAGAACTCGAAGATTTGGGGGAAGAATACCTGAACGAGCTCATTCAAAGAAACTTGGTTCAGGTGTGGCAAATGGACATCGATGGGAGACCAAGAACTTGTCATGTTCAAAATATTATGCATGAGATTGTTCTCTCACAGCTTCAAGATGAAAAGTTTTGTGAAGTTTATCCAGAACAACGTACATTTGCCGTCAGTAACGAAAGGATCAGGCGAATATCGATCCATAAAGGTGATCTAGGCCAGCTGTGCCCAAATCTTCGTGCTCGTGCTTTGCTAATATTTGACTCATTGGATCCATACCAGCACTCCATTCCAATTGGCTATTCAAGCTTAAAGATGTTGAGGGAATTGCATCTGGAGGGTGCAAACTTGGACATGTTTCCTGCAGACATTGAAGAACTATTGTTGTTGAGGTACTTGTGTTTGAGGAATACAGGAATCAGAAGCATTCCGAAATCAATAGGAAAGCTTAAGCACCTTGAAACCTTGGACCTCAAACAAACATTAGTCAGAACGCTGCCAAAAGAAATATGCCATCTTTCTAAGCTTCGTTACTTACTTGTTTACAGATATGACATTGAACATTATGTGGCATTTAACACAATTAAAGGATTTGAGGTCGCAGGAGAGATCACGTGGTCGGCCAATCTTCGCAAGCTACTGTTTGTGCAAGTCAATAAAAATCACAAAATCATTGTTGCAATGCGAGGCCTCAGAGAACTAAGAAGGCTGGGAATCATGGGTTTGCGCAAAGAAGATGGAAGGATCTTGTCTGAGACCATTCAAATGCTGCCAAATTTGCATTCTTTGAATGTGGCAGCTGAAAATGAGGCGGAAGTTTTAGACATGCAAAAAATTTCACATCCTCCTCGACTCCAGCGTTTGTATTTGAATGGAAGACTGGAGAGGATGCCTATCTGGATTTCCAAACTTCATGATCTGGTAAGGCTTCGTTTGAAGTGGTCTCGGCTGGATCAGCAGTTCAGCAATCCCATTAATACCCTTCAAGATCTTCCTAATTTACTAGAACTCCAGCTGCTTGACGCCTACAATGGGGAGCAATTGGATTTCAATGCTGGCAAATTTCAGAAGCTCGAGATACTGGAGTTAGAGCTACTTCGGCAGCTGAAAATGGTCATAATGGAACGCAATTCATTGCCTTGTCTACAAAAGCTGATCATAAGGCGATGCGGTCGGTTAAGGCAGATTCCAGTAGGTATAGATGAACTCAGCCAACTCAAGGAGATTCATTTGTATGATATGCCGAAAAATTTTGTCTCCATGCTCGAGAAAAATGGTGGCAGTCTTTATCATCTTGTACGTCATGTGCCATTAATACGTTCTTATGATGCTCAGAATGGTGGACGGTGGGATGTGAAAGATCTTTCTGATTGATTAAAAAAAAAGATCAAAATGAGAGATTCATTCCCCCTTTTTGGTAAGGCAAAAATTTCGGTTGTGTAAATTTATGAATTATATGTAATTCCTACAGTCACAAGATCAGGATTTTCTTCTGTGAAATAATTTTAGTACTACTATATAAGTTGTAGCCTTCACTTCCCTACAACAATTTGTTCATGTCATGCGAGCCTTCTCCATTATATCATTCTCAAAGAGTTTTGTGAAAGTGAAGAACGAAGAATGCAACTAAAGCTAATTAGCTTTTGATCGCAGTTAGTTCACATAGACATTCAAAGAAGTTCGTGTGTAAATTTCAGTTAGCTTTACTTCATGAACTTCAGATAAGATCAGTTATTAATGTATTAGGGCCCCAGGGGGGGGGGGAAGAAAGTCTAAGCTCATATTTTCTAACTATTTTCTTAGTCTTAGTTTCAACTCGATCGTTTTTCTAACTAAGATGCAATCGCATATCATCTAGAAGAGAATTTTCGATGGAATGAAAAGATTAATCTAAAGTAAGACATTATGAAATTACATATTTAAACCAATCTAAATTAATTTATCAAATTAAGTTACATATTTATTGTTAGTGGTTGCCTGATTGGATTTATTTTGCTGAGTACATGGGATCATAGCCCATGTTCCTGTTTATTTTGGTAGTTGCCTTTTAATTAATTCAAACCAGGAAGTTCTAGTATATCCACTGGTTGATATAATTTGGCGTGTGGAGCTATGTTTCTTGAAAGTTAAAAGCTGAATAGTTTTTTTTTTTTTGGAGGAAACAGTGAAACTCCGTGAGCTAAAAAAGAAAGCCTACGAATTGTTCATTATTTTTTGTGGAGTTATAAATAAATAAAATTTGGTTAAATATTTGTCTGTATATATGATTATATTCTCTCTTCCCACATATATTTATGTGGTAAAAAATACCTACTCTGAAATATAATTTTAGTACAATATATTATTAGTGCAACAATAACCTACTTACATTCCCCTTGGTTAATTCGATTTCCTTGTCTGTAAGCTTTGTAACAAATTACATTAGTGTTAAGCAATGGCACCTGCTGAAGGGGGGATAGCAACGGGTGCTCTGAGGAGCCCACCCCGTGGCAGAGCTGAGCATTGTCCGATTGGAAGCCGGACAGCGACTGAGCAAGTGGAAAGAAATGTGGTCGCGGCCGTGACACCAGAGCCGTTGTCGGTTGAGCTCCTTATAGGGTGAGTTTGAAGAACCCATTGGCATTTGTGGCTGTAGTTGCCACAGTGCTGGCAATGGTAGTGGTACTGGTACCAGCAAGATTGCGAGTGATCGAGACATTGGCTCCAGATAGAGGAGGAGTAATGCCAATAGGTAAAAGATTCCCCGTATTAGTGCAAAACAAGCGACCAAAAATGGTAGCTGAAGCTACAGGTAATGCAATCTTGTCAAGTGCGACGGTGGACGGGGTAATAGCAGTCGTGAAAACAATGAGGAGAGCAAGGCCAAGAAACAAATCATTATGTGCTGATGAGAAGCCATGACTGCAGATATCAAGTATGCGGCTTTTGCTGGGAATGCTTGGGAGAAGACAAGCTTATATAATAGAATTTTGGCCCTGGGGAATGTAGATGATGGTTATCAAGGTAGCTATCCTTTGAAGTCTTACACCTATTTACCCTTTCAAGTTTCTTTCGTATTTTTGCTAGGTTAGAAATTATGACCACTTCATCCAGGAAATACGAGAATGATTGGTTTGATAATAGGTATCCACTTTTGTAAACTTCATAGCCATTGGGTCTATTTTCTTTTGAATTTTAGTAGCATGACAAGTCTGTCATTTTGGAAGTTTCCCACATACTACAGCTCTCTCTATCCTTAATTATTTATCACTTCATGTAAGACATAGGCGAAAATATCTACAAATCAGGGATGGAAATACCTAACATAAAGGGATAAAATACGCAACGGATCTTCTGTACCACACCCTGTCTCACATCCTGTCCCACTTCTTAGAATCTCGCCAAGTGTCCCTTAATAAACCAACCTCTCAAACAACCCAACTCAGACCATATTAAATTAATTAATCGATTAACCGGACAAAGAAACTTAATCTCTTTAATCAATATAATCAAAACCAAGAAAAATAAAAACTCTTTAACCAAAATTACAATTTATCAACGGAAAAAACCCTATAACTCAAACAACCTCTGTCCTCTTCATCATCTCTTCTCATGGGAAACAACTTTTTTACGAGGATTAGATAAAGCTTCGAAGCTCTTCCCAAAGGTGAGAAACAACTTATTTCTTAAAAACCTTGGTGGGTTTCTTATGGTCCGAAGTTGTGTTTGAGCATGCAACTTAATTCTGCTACCTCCGGAATTTGAACGGTTCTGGTAATCTTTGCATCTTTTTTTTTTAAAAATAATTTGCTTTCAGGGCATTTTCTTTCTAGCTACGCAGGCCAATTTGATGTAATTTGCTAAGCTCACCACCTGTTCGAGCAAATTCCTAAGAGGAAGATGAATCAAACTGTAAGGTAAAAGGGAAAAGGGTTGCTCCCATATTTATTAGGAGGGTGTTTTGCGTTTTATACGTTTGATTTTGTTTATTAGGACTGCCTGTAGGCTTGTAATTAGTAGTTAGAAAATATGTTAAAGTTTGCATGATGGTTACTTTTTTGTGCTGGCACATGCGATCCTTGTCTCCCTTCTCTGCGCAGGCCAATCAAACTGTAAGCTTCTAATTTGCTTAATTTGCTAAGCTAAGCAGGCCAATTTGATGTAATTTGCTAAATTTGTTTGAGGACTCTTAGAGTGGAAAGTTCAAGGTCCATACGAACTCAATATTATTTACTCTCTGGCCTTTTCAGTCGTGCAGAATTAAGAGTTTTGTGGGGACTATGCCAGCGATGCTCTGTATTATATGGAGATAATACTTGAGGGCAAGGAGTTCATATATTCTTTGATTCCGTGACTACAGTTGCTGTATTTGATTTGTGCCAACAAAGTAAGCGAGCCTTTGGACTTTTTCCCATAACGTTTGAAAGAAACTTGAAATTCAAAAGAAGATATGAAAAGGTAGGCTCCCGCTGCCGATGCTTTAGCACATTGAGCCATCCAACTCACAGACTGGCTCTCATGGTCAAACATATTCAACAGCCTCTTGTTCGAATGGGAAGGATAAGATTCAGCAACATTTTAAACAAGTACAAACTCATTCTCAAGAATGTTCAAGTAATTCATAATTTTGGTTTTAATATCATGCTCCACAGTACCTTCCTCTGCACCCCCATGAAGTACATGATTGCTCAAATTTGCAATAATTTCCTTTAAGCTAAATGTAGATGAATCCCAATACTGTAGCATTTGAAAATAAGAGAACAACCCGTACAAAGTCAAGTCTCAATTGATCAATTGTTTCTGAACATTGGAACTTTGGGTACAAAGTCAAGAACTTATTGAAGGCTTCATTAAAGCCAGGAATGGATTCTTCAGTGCAAAATGTCCTATCAGACAATGACCCATCTTCAGAAGCCTCCTCAAGAGCCTCCCTTAGTTTGTTCTTGAGAGTTGATGGCTTTGCCTTACCCCACTCCTCCTCCTCCTCCACGCAAGAACCTTTCCTCTCCTGCTCTTCTTGTCCATCATCAAGGTTGCGCAGAATGATATAGGCTTCCATAGTCTCAGATGCATTAACACGAATCAGTTCCAGTTGACTGAAAAAACCTATCATCATATCAGATACCCCTGCAATATTAGGGAAAAAGTTACAAGCTCTACATGATTGAAGCTTCATTATGCATAACATTCTGCAAATAAGAGATTTCAATTATCTAAGTTTCATAATTTTCATAAACATTGAACTTTGTAAACAACAACAATGAAGTGAATGAATACATAAACCCTGCAACTAGTCACACTAATACAAGTCAAGATGGCACCTCTATCAATATAGACCAAAACCAGAAAACCATTGCAATTTGCTGCAGCAAATGTAACTTTAAAATTATCGGTAAACTTATCCTTTAAAATTTAGAAAAACTAAACGTAACAAAAGAACTTTGGGGGAAAGAGAGAGTGAGAAAGCATTTCTCTGTTAGTTGCACAGCACCCCAGAAAGAATTCGAAGAGCATGGTGATTAAAACAAGGAAATTCATCATTTTTCAGACACAGGATAAAAATTGTTATGTAGATTCTAGCTTCTTTTTTGAGCTCACCATTTAATAAAGCTTTGGAGAACACTGTACAACCGATAACTAGTTTGTCCCAAAAAAAAAAGACAAAAAAGTAAATGAGGTGATTGGATAAACAAACTAAAGACTAATTTATCATCCTTCTGCTCTGAGTGAGCTTTACAAGTATAAATTCAGAATAATGAAAGGGCAAAAAATTAAAGCTATAATTGTTATTAGAGAAATAATAAATAAAAGGACCCCAAAAACTAACAGAAGAAGAGCTCTACAGAAGATAGGAATAGGCTCGCCTAAACCTATTTATTGGAATATGCTTTCCACACTGCAAAACAAGGAACTACACTCAAACAAGTAAAGGTTATACAGAAAGGCATGAACGGAAATCCAATCCATAAGCCAGCCTAGGTCGCCAATTGAATTCACAGTCCCTATCACAGATCAAAGGATGAAATTTCAGAACATTCAGTAAAGTATCCACGATGCAACCAATCAGCAGCTTCACTCAGTACATTCAACAATCAACCGCCCAAATATCCCTCCACTTTAACCAGAAACAAAACCCACCTAACGCCATCCATCAAAAACCTCAAACAATAAAAAAATCACTACAAATGGCAAAACAAATAAAAAAAAAACCGCAACCGAGAGAACAAAAAATGAAACCGCAATAAACTCGTCCAGGGTGCACTAAAAAGCAATCTGGATTTTCTAGAAAGGCAAAAGATAAAGATAGCAGCTTGATACCCGATACTAGTTTCAATTGCTTCAATGGAGTGAATGCCATGCTTCGGAGCAGCGCAGGTGACAATTTTGAAAAAGCTGTTGGAATTCCATCGATGGGTTGGAGGGGGGAAAAGGGAAAAGGGTTTTGAGGAATCCGAAGGAGGAAGAAGAAGAAGAGTCAGTGAAGCAGAGGCTGAAACAACCGTAATTATGTTTTTATTTTTCTTCGTAAAAAAGTTGTTTCTCATAGAAGAGATGATGAAGAGGACAGAGGTTGTTTGAGTTATAGGGTTTTTCCCTTGATAAATTGTAATTTTGGTTAAAGAATTTTTATTTTTCTTGATTTTGGTTATATTTGTTAAAGAGATTAAGTTTTTTTGTCCGGTTAATCGATTAATTAACTTAATATGATCCGAGTTGGGTTGTTTGAGAGGTTGGTTTATTAAGGGACACTTGGCGAGATTCTAAGGAGTGGGATAGAATGTGAGACAGGGTGTGGTACAGAAGATCCGTTGCGGATAAAATAAAGATAGGCGTGAGAAAAGTAGTGGCCAAGAGTTTGCTTTCACAGGGAAAAATGGGGACTTGGACAAGTACAGTCGTTCACATTATAGTGGTATATTTTTGTTGTATTTGCTATACGGATTAGTGTACAATCATATTTACTCCTCCCTTAACAAGCCATCATTAAAATTTTAAAACCCTATACAATTCGAAAGCCAAATACATCACCTTAAACAAAAAAAAGGCAAAATTTTGCATGCCCCAAAAAAAAAATTGTAAGCAGAAAAAGGGGGCCAGCAACAAAATTTGCTCCAACATCAGTAGTAAAGTTGGGATTTTAGTAGTGGGATTTTAGTTAAGCTCACTTTTGTTTCAGAAGACAAGCTTTTATATATGCAGATGTTTGGACTTGAGGGATGTAAAGGACAGTTATCAGGATAGCTATTCTTAAATTCTGAAGAGAAAAAGTGAAAACTTGATAGAGGCTATGCCTCCAGCTATACCTACAACCAGGTTTGTACCCTCACTTCCCTTTAAATCTTACTCTTGATATGTATACTACTAGTTGCAATAGTAGCAGTGTATTGCACATTAGCTCGTTAATCTCATTGCAGTTACTGAAACGAAAATCATCTCATCTCAAGACTAATAAAAAGGAAAAGAGTTTTAATGATTTAGGCTGTTCTAAATTATGTTTTAGCTAAGCAGAAGGAATCATCAGTTGAGTTGATTCATTTTCAAGTCCGAACATTTAGACCAACATCACTTGATTGAGAGAACAAATTTGTTATTGTTATAATGAAACAAAACTACTATCTTAATGCTATTTTTTTCAATATATTAGTATCTTAATGAGGTGATTATTTTGTTTATCAGCATGTATTAAATTTGACTTCTCGTAGGATGGGTGATATCTCGTAATTGTAATTCAAACATGTATCACTATTATAACTTATTATTTTTCTTGGATAAAAATTAGGTAGAGATTAGTTAACTAAGGTTTAGCATTGTTGACTCTTTTTGGATGCATTAATCGATGTGTGTAGGCTTTTATTTCCATTGAATGGAAGGCAGCTCGTAAAGGAGAGGGCTGATGCGAGAAGAAAATGGGGTTGTGCTCGTCTACATTTTAGAGAAAGGTGGGTTTTTGGAGTGTGATGGGTGTTGGAAAGAGCCGGGTTGCGCTTGGAGGAACGGTTAGGTGATGGGACAAGAAGGTGTCAACTTGGGATTTGAAGAGGGATTGACTTCTCTTCGATGAATTCTCCCCTCATTTTTCACAATACACATTTGGATGCATATTACACACGTTTGTCTTCATGTACTATGAAGAGACATGATCATTTTAAATTTAACTAATTTTAACCCTTGTTAATAAATGAAAATAAGTGTCCTATATGCATATGTACACTGCAAGAAATAAAGAAAGAATCCACTGAAAATGAGCTAAAATAGGTAGGGAAGGTAGCGGGTGTAAGTATATTCGAGAAAAAGAGTTTCGCTTGAGGAATGGGTATGATAGTTGGGGGAAGAAGGGGTTGGTAACGATGGCCAGAAAATGATGAATGTACTCTTCTTCTTTTTTTTTGGTTGGATTCTTGCATGAACGGTAGTGATTTCATTTTATATCAAAGGAGGTAAGTGTAATATTATTGAAACAAGGAAGGGGTTGAATGTAATTATCATAAACCTCAAAGGAGGTTTATGAAATTATACCATAAAAATATAGATGGTGTTAGGTGAATATAGTAAAACGATTGGGCCAGAAAAAAATAGTTAAACAATTGCGGGATAACGCGGTAGAATACAAAATCATAGAAGGGTTAAATAATAATAATTGACCCTTTTATCTATTAGATTTACATTACTTGGATATTATAAGCGTCCATAATTAGTTTAATTATGATGGGCATCCTCCATTTCGATGTAGTTCATCAATTCTGGCTACATGAAGTACTTCAAGGTCATAATGTGACAATGAAAGGATATACATATGCGTAAAATTTATGGATATGGAAAGTAAAAACTTTTGGAGAATTCATAGTGGAAAATTGTCTATACTATTCAAAATTTTTAAGATCTTTAACTTTTTCTATCTTTCAAATTGAAATTAACAAGTTCAGCACAACCATATGCAGGTGAAATCGCAAAGAAGTACTTCAACAGTGACTTCCAAGGTAGATTCTCCATCCTGTCCCCTTCCCCCTTCACCAAAAAACTGCGTAGGTGAATTTTAACCGCAAGATCTATTCTAGTTATTGAACAATTTATGAACAATTCATAAGTTACTCAATAGCTAGAAGTGCATAATTACTCTTTCCGTCGTCC